CACCCGCCACGGAAGGCAGGCCGCCGCGGCCCGGCGCCCGCCAACGCCTCACCGGCGAGGGTGGCTGGGGCATCGGCTGAGGTCACTCCGGTGCCTCTGACCGAGAGGTCCAGGAGTTCCACTCTCGACTTTGGCAGAATATTCGACACTACCTAGGTAGCTACCTCGAAGTCAGCCGCTGTCAAGAACAGAATTCTAGCGGTCGGCTGCTCTGGTCGGTAGTTTTCCTTGTTTTCTCCGATCAACACCAGACGAATGCAGGAGCAGTACCATAACAAACGGGCCACGGACCGCGCATGATCTTTCTTTCTTCCTCCTTGCCCTATCCTCATCCCTTCATTACACAGACATTCACATGCACTAATTACCACACTTATCTGGAGGGCCAATCGAGAGCTAAGACATTGCCCCGGCTAAGGTGGTGCCACGCTGGTGCGTGATTCCTGATTGGGGAAAACCTCGCAAGTCGACTTGTAGGACGACGCCCGATCTGCCCATCCAGCGGAAAACATCACCGCCTCTTCCAGGGATCAAAACGCACACTACACTTACAGGACTAATGATCTCAGTAGTTGACGCGCACAGAATCATTAATCAATCAATCAAATGCCAATGGCGTCTGTCAGCTTACACCGAGGCGGGCACTGAGCCGACATACCGACAGCGCTTCGTACTTACATTTACAAACACGCATTCAAGCAGAAGAAAATGCAAGATGTGTGTAACATAGGTTAATAATGAGAACAATTAGCTCTACATCGCGATTCTCTATTGTCTGTCAAATACTTTAGTAGGCAACCAGCTTGAATTTCATACGTTACACTCTTTCCTCTTTCACCAACCCTTGCAAATGCCATGCTCTTCCCATTACATGCTAATTAAGAAACCGAGAGGGATGATAAGATGAACGATGGGGAAAGGTAAAACAAAAAGAAGAAGATTACAAGTTAAGAGGGAAAAAAGCTATCACCTAATACATTGTACTCCGTGTTCGCTCAATGAATAATGTATTCATATTATTCCAATATTATTCCTGGAATATTCTGATTTCTCGCTTACAAAGCCAGATGGGACCCTGACAGCTTGTTTAGAAATAATATTAAATCAACATAAAATTAATGAAAAATGAATGTATGAGTCTTGTTATACAATGTTTACGTTTCATAAACTACTAAAATGGAAAATAAAATATTAATCTTTAGCGTTTCAAACCAAACTGTTATGTATCATTTAAAGTGCTTTTTACTATTTGGGCATTTCGAAGCAGTGCAACCACACTGCATTGCAACTAATCCCTGGAATACTGCACTATTCCCTGCCTTACCTCATCGAACTGGCCTGTGACCCCGGGCCGTGCAAGCACTACGCAATAACAAGTAAGGACTTAATGCAAGGTCTTAGAGACTTTTAGTAAAATAATGGAGCGACGTAGACACACCGCATAGTCGTATACATCTCGATTGATAAGATAAATTTCTTCGCTAAATTAAATTTGATTGGGTATTGAGAATGGATGAAACTTGAAACACTGAAAGAACTGTTCAATATCATCAGAGACAATATTCTTAGTTTTGCCATTGCAACTCATTGTTAAGCGACATAAATCAATTGCTTGTCGTCTATCTCTATCATATCAATATCCCACTAACGGAAACATAGAGCGCAATCTTTATACTGAACTTCACAACAACAAAAAACCATACAACGAAATCAATTTTTAAGTTCGAATGAATTAACTTACAATCTCACCGTATAACAAAAACTCTCCATTCCCTGTTCCTTAAGTTTCTTTACAATAAATGATTGTTGTTTTTTTCCTACAAGCATAGCTGATAAGATTCAATATATACGGAATTATCGATGCTGTTGTCGATCATTTAGCATGTTTTCATCCCAGTGGGACCAGTCATCAAGAACTGTTCTCAATGCGAGTTCATAAGACCCCAGCTACATTACCTTCGGTGCTCACTCGAGTCCCGAGGGGCCTCCGGTCCCCAGGCTGCGCACCAGGAATTCCGAAGCGCGGAGGCCTGGCCAAGCAGCGACGCAGGCAAAGCTGCGGGCACGGGGGGAGGGGGAGGTGTACGGGTCCGTCGCCAGGGGGGGGGGAGAGTCACGCCCATCGAATATTGCGCCTAATCAGCCGCGGAGCGCCCAGGGTGGAGTCAGGCGTTTCCCGCGAGTCGCTGCGGCCGGCGTGGTTCGCCGGGGCGCGGCGTGTGGTGAGCGTGCCGAGCGGTGAGGCGTTGCCGCCACGCCCATTTCCCGGGGCTTACCGCACCGCGCACGGCGTGATTGCGTCGGGCGGGCAAAGGGGCGGAGCGCGCCACAGCGCCAAGGCGGAGTGGCGGACGGAGCGCGAATTGGTGCTGGGAGAAGGGGCTGGTTTTTATTGTGGTAGGCTTCTGTGGTAAATAGGGAATATTACATTGTAATAAAATAAATCATGTATTACCCATGTCGTGACAGTACTGACACATGTAGTTACATGTACTTACATATGTAGTTACATGCATTTACATATGTACTTACATATGTAGTTTCATGTACTTACATATGTACTTGAACTTACACTTGTAACTACAAATTACATATGTAAGGTAATTTTTTTAGTGTTTAAAATTGCACATAAGCATTTTCCGAATATAAAATGTCGCCGATCAAGACGGCTGAAAGAAACAAGTAATTGTACTCTACATATCTCTACAGAAGTAATTGTACTCTAATCTTCACTCTACACACGAGTTTTATTCGAAATATAAAACACGTTCGTAATATACACAATGTTGTTTACGAGCAGCCGTGGCTCAAGAGA